GTTAGATTATTTTATGCAAGTCTAGCTTAACTGGACTATAGTAGCAATATTTACTATAGTTAATCAAGCACATATTGCAGGGAAAATATGCGCTCAGGTTCACTTTCACTTTGTTGATGAACGAAGGCAAATGAAAACTATAGCAATCGCTCGAGTGCTGAGTAATTTATAGCGTATTGTTTCATTTTTTTATATATATTTTTTTCTCTATAAATACAAGAGAAAAAAATTGTTTTTTTTTCTGGTTATCAAAAAAATAGTAACCAACTAATTTTGCAGATTTGAATTGATATGGGAAAAATAATAAGTAAATCTGATGTGACTGGAAATTCCTTAGAATTGTAACGGGTAGAAATAGCTCAAATAAGTGAGTGATCGGTTTTGCTATAGAGCCAACAGTTGGCTCTATAGTGGAGCCGACTTTCTATTGTTGGCTCTATAGTGGAGCCAACTTTGTATATACAACAAATAAATCTACCACATTCTCTAATTACTTAAATAACATTAATATAATTTTATTACTATGGTAAGTTTATTTGTTGTATATAGAAGCTTGGCTCTACTATGGAGCCAACTATTGGCTCTATAGCAAAACCGAGTAAGCGATTCAATACTAAAATTAAAAAAAAAAAGTGTAAAATGGTTGACTTTTATTTAAAAAACATGGGTTAATGACATAAAAAACTCCAACCTTTTGTTTAATTGCAAATAAAACATAATTTTTTCAATTTCAGAAAATATCAAACCTTTATTAAGTATTGTAATTTTGTCTCGGAAGCAGATTTCGGCCAATGCACGCTGACATGATTGATCGAACAATTGACGTGGCACCAATTATGAGTGCTTGGCACTCAAAAAAAAAAAATAATATAATGTTGAAAGCGCCATAAATAAACAATTAAAATAAAAAGTGTCCAATTTTTTTTAATTGTTTTGTGTAAAAAAACTTAGGGCATGCTTGTTTATGGATTTTTTCAATCCAATTTTTTCAACTCAAATATTTAACTCAACTTTAACTCAACCTCACTATCTTTAATATTATTCATACAATTAAATAATAAAAACCAATCATTCTTACACATCACATCAACTTTAATTCACTATTCATCCACTCACATAATTTTAACTACCAATCATTTTCAATCATTTATTTCCTATTTTATATCAAATCAATTTTAATCATTTTTATTTTAAATATTATTTTAATATATTTTTTAAACTCCACTACCAATTAACCACATTACTTTTTCAACTTTAACTATAGTTAACAAAATGAAATATTTTGGTTGAAAAAATCCATAACAAGCGCCCCCTTAATGCTAAAAACTCATAAATAAACAATTATTTATTGGTTAAAAAAACTTAATGCTAAAAGCGTCATAAAAAAATATAAAATAAAGTTTTTTTTTAATTGTTTATTTATTGCGCTTTTAGCATTAATTTTTTTTTTTTTGAGTGCCACACAATCATAATTGGTGCCACGTCAATTTTTCGATCAGCAATGTCAGCATGCATTGGCCGAAATCTGCTTTTGAGACAAAATTGCAATACAGAATAAATGTTTAGTATTTTTGTAAAGTTGAAAAAGTTGAATTTTACTTGCAATTAAACAAAAGGTTGAGGTATTTTATGCAATTAACAACAAAAAAAAAAAAAATTATAGATATAATTGAAGAGAGTGTCAATTCCCTATAGTTAGTACCCTTAACATAAACATCAATAAACAGGTCCATAGAAAAAACAATTTCACCTAAACACGTACCCACGTCAGTCTTTCAGATTCAAAGCGTCTTTCTATAATTATGATCCATTGATTAGAATCACTAACATTAGGAAATGTTACGGTCCCGTTACGAGATCATTTCGTCCACAAATATTTAGGCTATGTTTGGTAGACCAATAAGCTAGCTTATAGCTTATTTAGTTAGCTTATAAGCTCCCTGTATTTAAATAAGCTCCGTTTGGTAGGACGAGCTTATTTTAAAAAACTCGAACTTATTTGATAAGTTTCTTTTAGTAGCTTTTCAAATAAGCTCGTTGAAATTTTTATTTCAGCTAGCTTATCAGCTAATTTACCAAACACTTTTATCATATAAGCTAGCTTTTCAGCTATAAGTCATAAGCTATAAGTTATAAGCTCAAAAAATACTAATAAGCTATAAGCTAGCTTATCAGCTATCAGCTAGTTTATCAGCTAGTTTTACCAAACATAGTTTTAGGTGTGCCCTGACACACCTTGCAAGGTGTGCCAAAGCCTTTTGTGAAATACACTCCCCCCCCCCCAAAAGCGCATGAGGTAAGGAGGTAAGACATTTTTTTTTTTAATGAGACATGTGTCCCATTTCTATGAGCAATGAAATTCATATATTATATTATATAAATTAAATTATCATTCATATTTTGTATCAAAAAATAAAAATACCAAAATTCATAATTTTTCATCCTCTACAAATAGAGACCACATTGATATTTTTTGGAACACAATTAATTTATCATTTTTTTACAATTAATTTATCTTATTGGAAGATTATGACATAAATCTATAATTAGATGAATACACATAGTAAGATGAACATGTTATAGAGTAAGATGAACATGTCATAGAATAAAATGAAAAATGTTACATTTTCACAGATGAAATTTAGATGAACGTGTTACATAATAAAATGAACATGTTATAGAATAAG